TGCGGATTCGAACCCGCGACCCTCAGATTGTAAGTCGAGCGCCTTATCCACCTGGCCATGCCGGGCCTCTGATTCGATTAAATGGGATTTAATAAGAGATCGCGTCCGTTAAAATACAAAACAAAATAACTAGATAGTTTCGGACCTGAAAGATGTAAGTGGTAGGTATCTGAATAGAAAAGAAGTCTCCTTTAAGATGTTTGGTGTATTTTTTGTATCCAAAAGGGAGAATGTTTCTTATTGCCTAATTCTTTGAACCGAATTGCGGGATTACAAACATTTTTTTATAACGAGCCTATAACTGGAAGTGATGAACGTGTATAGTGACATCGCGTATCGAACTTTAGATTCTTCGCTCTCTAGTCTGGCGCGCTGACCACTTGGCCACGCCAGGTCTTCTTTAGAATGTGAGGGGGTTAGCGATATTTTAAGCAAATCATAAAGACAAAAATTTTACATAGTTATTCTTTTAGTGCGTCATTTACTTTGCGTTGTTTTTTTTCAGTTCAGTCCACTGCAGGAATCGAACACTAGGTTTTATCGTTGTAATTAGTTTGGTGAGCTCTTTTATGTTTCGGAGACGGCGAGCCAGGTTCGACTTCGTAGGTACCACAAAATATCCCACCCCCCACATATGTTATGCGTTATAAGAATGGCAGTTAATCAATCCTTTGACGTGGATGTGGGGTGGTAGGGTGCTACTGACTGGCTGGCTACCCTCCCTTTGGTTACTACTTCAAAATTAGGAATGGCGATAGATAGTCTTAGTATATTTATTGTAAATACAAAACTCAAATATAAGTAGTTTAGTAAAAAAACTTGTATTCAGATAATTTACAATATTTATAGTAATATCTTCTACAAGAAACAATATCGAAATTTCAAAGAACAAAAATCAAAATAGCAAATTGTTTCTATAGTGTTGGTTTCGAAATTGGGCGAATCTTTATCAAGGCAATCAATGTTATTTTAATTCAGAAAACACACAATAGGTATAAGGCAACAGATAATCACACAATATTACATTATCAACATTCTGTACATAAAATTATTTATGTTCAAAAATACCAGCTTGATCTATGTCTTTAACCCATGGGCTTTAAAGTTATTTGTTATGTCTTTAACCCATTGCCTTTTGGTAAAAAAAAACAACAAAAGTTTGGTCTTACACATATTAATTTTTTTGCTTCGATTTAAAAGTTTACCTTTCATTAAAAAAATGCTGGTGAGATGAATTTTCTAGACTTTTCCTTTTTCTCTGTATTGATCGTTAATTTTATAACTGTTCTTTTTTTTCCTCCCGGAGTTCCATACTTCATTGATTGTCTCTATGGAACAGAATTCCGTCAGAAAAATTCTCAAAAGATAAAAATTGACATTAGAAGTTTCACTTTATCCATTTCGTCTATACAGCTATTGAAACAAAAGGATGATAATCCTGTTTTTTTTTTGTCATTTTCGTTCCATTTCTGAAATCAAGGGTTTGCCTGCTGTTGCTGATGTGTGATTAATTGTTCTACGAGAACGACAATAGAGAAGGAATAGAAAAAAATGTGAATCAATTATTTCTGTTTTGACAACAATGAACGTTGGAGGCATGTAGAAAAACCAAGCTGTTGTTTCGGAAACTCATTACCCTCGCCTCCCCCACTCCGAGCGAGGATATTACAATCGGGTCCGTGTGTGTGTGTATGTGTCTATCTGTGTTTCCGCGCGCGTATCTTAAAGATTAATTGATCGATGTAAACGAAAATTTTACATAAGATGGGAAGTCAGTGTGGAACAACCCTCCCCAAATTTGGTCCGGATTCGGATTCTGGATCACTTTGAATATATATGTATATATTTTATAATGGGAGATAGGGCATTTTCGCGGTTTAGGGTTAATAACTTTGTAAAGCGTAATGTGATTTCTACCAAATTTCATGGGCACATTAAAGTTGAAACTTCTCATCACATAACAAAAGTGATTTGGATCGTTGATCATTCTAGATCTGAGAAGCATTTTTCTGAATTTTCGAAGGTGACATTTGATGTTATCCTATACAAACGCACACAATCTCGAAAAGGAGTGGCGGGGCGAGGGTATGCAATCTCTCTGAATACACTTGTTTGTAATCGTATTGCTTTCATTTCTTTCTTTCTGAGTAGAATTAGTTTGCGGACTTACAATGCTAAAATCCGGGTTTCGATTCCACGCGGTGGACAGAGCGTAGATAGCCCATTGTGTAGCTGTGCGTTATAACAACAACTATCTGAATATAATTTATTTTTAATAGGCATTTTGCTTGCCTGATATATTTTTTCTATGGTTAATTATTTTAAATAATATTCGGAAAGTTTAAACTTGAAATACAGTAAACAATTTAATAAACTTTCAGTTAACTGAAAACCATGTATTAATTGAATCTTTAAGATCACACATCTATAATAACACCGAATATTTGGAGTACATCCAAACCAATAAAAACATGTAGCAACAGTTTACACATACCATAAGCAACCACAATGTAAAACAGCGATAGAGATTTTTATTCTAAGATTGTGAAGATGTAGGGATGGCAAAAAGATTAGAAACTAGGGAGCACTTGGGATGGAAGGAAAATTTGCATTACCCATTCCTGCATTCAAACACTCACAGGGTGGATGCATATATAAGTTAGGGGGTGGAATGAAGGAATGAGTAATGCAGATTTTCCTCTCATCCCAAATGCTCTCCAGTTTCTGATCTTTTTTCCATCCCAACAATTTTAAGATAAAATGTTTTATTGCTAGTTGCTGGACATTTTTTTTTTAACGATTATCAGGACAGGTTGCGCCATCTATTGATTGATATGCGTATTGGGCAATATTAAATAATCTGTATTATTGCATATATTTGGGGTTTTAACTAACCTATCGTGAATCATTTGGGACTCTAGGTTGGAAAGGCGCATCTTAGGAAGTTGAAGTGTTTTGGTGTGCAGGCTGGAAGTAGGCACACTGTGGTTTATGAGTCACAGCTGACGGAAAGAAAAAAGAAAAACGAGAACCAGGCTTAACCCTACATAGACATTGCTCAACGCTGCCTAATACCGTAGAACAAGGGGATGAAGAACAGATTTTTCCAAATGGTACCATATCCATGATTCTCAATTCTCAAGATACACGAGGGCTATCTGCGCTCATTTAGAAGGCAATTAGTCACCACCAACCACCACAAATTCTTGGGGTACTCTTTTGCCAACGAATAATGGTGTTGGCCGTCACATGATAACGCCCCCACGGCTGAACGGGCTAGCATTTTCGGTGAAGGGAATTCGGACCCGCGACCCTCATATTGCGAGTAGAGCGCCCTAACCACCAGGCCATGCTCTCTGATACTTAACGTTAACGAATGAAAACAAAAACAAAAAAACATCTACCAACCATCAAGGATTTCGAAAAGATGTCAACAGGTGTAAGCTTGTAATACAGATAACAAATATGATTAAGAGCAAACTGCATCATCTGTGAAGTTAATAATATCATGGTAACATTACGATAATCTAAAGAATAGCAAATTAATAGCAAAATTAGATGAAACAAATTTTGTCCCTAATTACCTTGTTTTACGGTAACGATTAATAAAGCATAATTTCTTATTCAATTAAATTCACATATTTATTAAGGATTTAAATTATCAATAGTCCCCCCGGTGGAACAGCGGTAAGTCTACGAACTTACAACAATAAAATCTGGGATTTGATTCCTCGCGGTAGACACGGTAGATAGCCTAAAGTGGCTTTTCTTAAATAACAACAAGACTCTCAATAACGTAGCTATATTATCCCAGTGAATTTTTAGTAAACGCTTTCTTTTCCTAGTCGAAAAATTAATTTTCAGGTGAACGAAAAAGCACATTTTCTTACACAAGTGTACTATTTACAAATTGACTTTAATTCTCAAATTTTCACTCTGTTTTTATATCATTCACAACTGATAGGATCTATACTGTGTATAATATTGAATAGTTTAATATAATTTGTCTGTTAGAAAAATAAGAAATCCTAGGATTAATTAGTGGAATTAATTCCAATAAGCCCCCCCCCCCCCAGTGGCACAGCGGTATGTCTGCGGACTTATACCGCTAGAAACCGGGTTTCAATACCCGTGGTGGGCAGAGCACAGATAGTCCTTTGTGTAGCTTTGTGTTTAACTATAAAACAAACAAACAAATCTAGCCCCCCCCAGTGGCACAGCGGTATGTCTGCGGACTTATACCGCTAGAAACCGGGTTTCGATACCCGTTGTGGACAGAGCACAGTTAGCCCTTTATGTAGCTTTGTGTTTAACTATAAAACAAACAAACAAACAAACAACATTTCCAATATGAATAGTATTTTTATTTAGTATATCTTGTATGGATTGTATGTTATTATGGAGCAAAGTCACGGACTCACAAACAAACTACTGTGATGAATATATATTTAGTTCAGAAAAATGTGTTTAAAATGTTCCTGGATATGTATCTTATCCGTGATGGATATGAACCTTATCCGTAATATCACGGTTCGGTGTTTTTGTTTCGAAATTCGCGCAATTTCGAGGGCTATCTGCATTAGCCGTTTCTAATTTAGCAGCTAGTCAGCACCACTCACTGCCAACTCTTAAGGTATTAATTTATCAACGAATAGTGAGATTAACCATCACACTATAATGCCCCCACGGCTGTAAAAGCGAGCATGTTTGGTGACGGGGATTTGAATCTGTGAATGCCCTAACCACCAGGCCATGCCAGGCCGTAATGTGACGGTTGAATTAAAACTTACATTGTGTTAAATAACAAAATATAGTTCGATTGCTCTTACCAATCTTCCCAGACCAACGTTTTTATCATATATAAGATAATGCATTAATATACGTCAGTAAATAAATACGCTAAAAAAAAGTAGGACAAATACTTAGACTTCCCTCTGATATGTATACTTCTTTAAAGCACGAGACGTACGTATAAAAGACGAATAATTCTGTAATAAAGTTTAATGTCTTAGTGAAGTAAACGAACAATCACAATAATTTAGGCTTCGTATGATTTGAGATGAGAAGGAATTATTGTTAGTCTAAAAAAAAACAGCGTCTCTTCCAGATGTTTCTGGCTCTCGTGTCGTAATTGATCACGTTGAACAATTTCTTCAATGTTACATCTCTGATCCGGAGTTGACTTTCCTTGTGGTAGAGGGATCATGCAATTAGGACTAAGGTGTTGAGTAGACGCGGATCTTGACATCCCGAAACCCTCTGAGGCTCTTATGTTAGTGACAAATATTACCTTTTGTTTTTGTGCGATGTCAGCAGTGCTTTTAATACACATCATCGTCTGACAGATAGAATTAGGATTAGAAATTATAAAAGAAACAATTGATACCAACAGCTCAACAATGGCGGCAATAACATCATTCTCTCCTATTGCGCCCTCTGGTTAACATTCCTTGAAACAGAATGAAACTGAGAACAAAAAGGATTAGTGATGTAACCACAGACACAAGGACAACCAAGGAAAAGTTTCTTCATTCTATGAAGGTTTCGATATTTCCATGAAAATATCCTGGCAGTACCCGTCGTTTGGAAAACCAAACCAAATTTCGGTTCCCGAAGAGTTGGCTTCATATTCAACCGCCAATTCATAGATAGCCAGTATACCAGATTTAGGAAACCTAGGCCTAGTTGAAGAACACTGTCTAGAACGGCGTTTCGAGTCCAATCCACGCTGACTCCAGAAGTTTCGAGGGAATTTGTTCGGCGATAGACCTATCAACTGTATAGCATAAATTTCTTTCATCTTAACGCCACCTGGTGCGAAGAAAAATATTACTGTAATTATATTACCGAAACGTTCTCATTAACAGCATATTACTTTTTATTTTATAACTAACTCATAATGGGAGCTAACAATCGATAAAACTTTTTTTTTACCATTCTATTTCCAGATATGACACCTACAAGCCACGTGACAGAACGAAACCAAGCTAGTGCTCAACTGATTTAGTTGATTCACCAGATATGACACTCACAAGCCACGTGACAGAACAAAACCACACTGGTGCTCAACTGATTTAGTTGATTAACCAGATATGACACTCACAAGCCACGTGACAGAACAAAGCCTGGCTGGGGCTCAACTGATTTACTTGATTCAAAAAATATTTTAATGCTACTGATTTACATCTTTGTAGTTGGTAGACTGTATTTTGCATATCATTATGAAGGAAAATCTTTTTCGAAAATGCCAACCGGACTTCTAATCTAATCTCTTATTCAATAATATTACAAACGCATTCGAATCCAAAATCTTAAGCCTCTGTTAACGGAGGAGATGCTTTTCGGGGGGAGTAAAGTTTCATGCTGTGGTGTCTCTTACACGTAACAATCCAGTGAAACCCCCAAAATAATACCAATCTACAAACAACAAATTAGATTTGGTGTGTTTTGAATTGCCGGCAAAACCTAGCCGTTCCTGATTTAGCAGTAAAAGACTAGAGGGAAGGCAGCTAGTCATCACTACCCACCGTCATCTCTTGGACTACTCATTTACCAATGAATAGTGGGATTGATCGTAACATTATATCGCCCCCACGGCTGAAAGAGCGAGCGTGTTTGGTGGGACCGAGATTTGAACCTGTGCCACACAGGTTGCGAGTCGAGCGCCCTAACCATCAGACCTTGCCAGGCTTAATTTCGAAATTATATATATTTGATTTAAAATATTCAGTATGGTTTTTAGCAGGAATTTTCTCTTAACCTATTAACATGTTAGCGTATATTACTTTTGGTTGTTTGTTTTAGCGAAAAGCCACACAACTGGTTATCAATATATGACCATAAACTTACTGCTGACCCATCGAGGAACGTTAAATCTTTGTTATGTTTAGTAGAAAAGCGGCCTCATGATTAACTGTATCTTAGCGAATGTTGTTTATCTTAAGGACAGTAAAATCCCTGATAAAAACTAACGTATATGTTGCACGGAAAAGTGAAAGAGCAGTAGTCCACAAAATTGATTTCTTCTTAATAAAAATAATGAACTGTAGTCATAAATTTCCGATTCTCTGATTGGGTAGGGCTTTTTGGCGATTTGCTTTGGAGAATTGCTCTTTGTAGTAAAAATATGAATGTCAAAGATGCTGTATAAGAATTGTATTCTGGGAATCAGTCGATCATTCTTTTATTAAGATAATCTAGAGATTTTCTTTGATTGCTCTTATAGCTAACTATCACTCTGCAGTTTTTCCCAAAATATGTTATTGCTTCAGGTCTCCACTTTTAAAATAAAGTGAAAACTTTAAGAACTGTACACAAAAGAAATGTTTTTGCATTGTACTTCTTGTGGCAGTTTTACTGTTTTGTGCAGTTCACATAAAGAATACTGAAACCTAATCTAAATAAATTCGAGTTTCACTCAACTTTAAATAGCACTCAACTAAAATGTTAAAAAACTCCGTTTACGAATTATGCTAACACAATACTCGACGTTTCGTTTTAATTTAGTTCACTAGAACGTAATTAGAAATGTTGGAAAAGATAGTCGTGGGAAGGAGGGGGTGTGAATTTTAGAGAAAGAGTAGTATGAAGAAAATAACGACTCTGATCTTGAGCTACTACTTACCAAAGAACGGTGGAAGCGACCACCGTGATATAACGCTCCCACAGCTGAAAGGATGAGCATGTTCGGTGATGGGATTCGAACCCGCGACAAGCAGCTCGCTAGTCAAGCTCCCAAACCACCAGCCCGTCTCATTATGTAATGCTTGCTTATGAAATTATGAATTTCTGTGATGAAACAATTCTCATTTTCTTGACTTACAGAGGTTCTTCTGAAAGTGTTTGTTTGTTTTGAATTTCGCGTAAAGCTACACGAGGGCTATCTGCGCTAGCCGTCCCTAATTTAACAGTGAACGACTAGAGGGAAGGCAGCTAGTCATCATCACCCACCGTTAACTCTTGGGCTACTCTTTTGCGAACGAATAGTGGGATTGACAGTCACATTATAACGCCCCCACGGCTGAAAGGGCGAGCATGTTTGGTGAGACGGAGATTCGGACCCGCGACCCTCACTCCTGAAAGTGAGTTTTACTTTCTATGATGTTCCTCAACATTTAGGGCCTTTTTTTTGTTTTTACTGCACCTGTAACATATGAGTTGAGGCCCAACATACTTTTAGTTTAACTCCATACTCTTGAGATTACAGATTTTAAGTTGTTTTCTTTTACATTAGCTTAATATTCATTATATCTAATTGAATATCCTTCAATTCTACTGCGTAGGTTTTAAAAGTTTATATTCAAACAAACAACAACAACATACACAAGTATACACTTATGATCTAAATTGATATCTAACGAACAATTCCCACTTTTGTTTCCCCTAAGAAAAATAATATAAAGATATATATATGTGAGTGGAACAAGTATTAGGGTTACTCTAATTGAATAGTGTGATTGACCGTCACGGTATAATGCCCCTATGGCTGAAAGAAAGAGTATGTTAGGATTCGAACCTGTAACTCGCACGCAATTAAAAAAAAGACATGGACCCACAAACAATTTAGTGCATAAATAATACAGAAAAAAAATTGTTTAAATTGATGGTATTTTTCTTTATTTAATTTGTTTCTGTGACTCGTATGTTATATGGAACTTTTTGATCAACAAAGTCATGGATGTAAAACCAAATCTGGTTCACAAATAGTTTAGAACAAATGTGTTAAGGAGATAAAGGGGTCTCGAAGTCATGGATAATTCTAGAGTTAACACGTCATACCAGTATTTTAGATAAGATTAACAATGAAACTATTTCTTGATAAGCCAAATTTTATTAGTAGTGAATTACAGGACGTATTTGAATGGAGCGTCGTTTCTTTTCTTAGTGCAAAGCTACACAAAGGGCTATCTGCACTCTGTTCACCGAGGGGAATCGAACCCTGGAGTTTTGCATTGTAACTCAGTAAACTGAGTGGAACTGCTAAAAAATATAATAAAAGAAGAGATGTGTATGATTTTAATAAAATAAGTAAAGCCATATTATATTAGTTATCACTTAGGAATATTAGGTTCAAATGTTTGGTCATAAATCAGCCTCTACTAGCTATTTATCTTATATAGCAGCCAGACGCGGGTAGCATGTCTGTTGTAAGGGATCTGGAGTTCGACACATGATGCTCTTGAGCACGCTTTGCACTTTCATCTGTGGGAGTGATATAAAAGTAGCTGTCAATTTTGTTATTTTATTCAAAGAGCGGATAGAATCCTTCTGGCGGGGGCGCTGTTGTCAGGCTGTTTTTCCCACTAATCAGTATTTCAAACTAAGGGATGGGTGTCCGAATCCTACGAGTTTCTGACCTGGCCGTTCAGCATAAGGTGCCGTTCAGGTTGAAATTTCCAATTTTATTTTAAATAGATAACGTTATTAAATTTGATATATAAGCCAAAATATTTCAAAAACAACAACATCAAAAAGAAAAAAAGTCTTACCATAGCTCCACAGACACCTTTTAGAAATGATGAATCACCTTAAAACTTCTCAAATTGTATTTGTTGCTAGTGAGAAAAACAAAACAAAAAACGTGCTATTGTTTAATTTTAACGAAATTATGAAGAGATGAGACCCGATTGCGAAAAACGTCTGCACGTTTGGTACATTTGTGTCGCGCTAGTACACAAGCTTACTAATAAGGTAGACGAAGTATTTTCATTATGAAATTGTTGTGACTCATTCTTTATCTACCCTTCATTATATTGTTATATGTAGCATTTATGACGCTAGAGTTACCATAGTAACGACTGTCTCTTTTATAATGAAAGGCTTGACTTTACAGTTTCCTTATACCAAAGCAAAGCTCCTGCATTAGTACAGTTGAAGAAACAATCGGAACTCCTTTGTCTATTACGAACACTGATGACGCTTTTAGTCACTTTCTATACCATACAAAGCATGCTTGATCGACCTACTCTCAAGTAGTTCAAATACGACCGCATGTATATACATGACCATCTTGTAGAAGTTTTCAGCTGCTACCTACAAGAACTTTGAGTAAATACTTTTAGAAGGCTATTTACACGACCTTTATGTGTGTACTTTTAGATGATTATTTACACTACTGTCCAACTTTAAAATTATAGATCTGCGTTTTATAATTTTGTATCCATGGTGTATAACTTTGGATCTGTTTATCATTATTGGTCAGAGTAAAGAATAAATCCTTGTAATTTTCGCCTATTGTATTATCTTATATTTTTACAAAATTTATTATATATATAAACATCTATATTCGTAACGCTCCATTTGTCGGTAACGCTCGACGATCTGTTGGTAACGTTCAAATTGGCTCAGTGGTTTGTCTCAAGAAGATTCTCGAGTTCAAATCCCATTCGAATGGGGATTTTTTATAATTGTTTTTGTTATCAGCTCATTATATTTGGAGCAAGATATAACAAGTTTTGGAAAAATCCCAATAACATCATACTCTACATTAGGGATTTGAATTATTTATTTACATTCGATTACAAAGCTGTGTCCTTCTGGTTATAGCGCTCGATTATCATGAGAAAGTCTTGAGTTCAATTGCCAGTTGAATATGAATTTTTTAAAATGTTTTTATTATTCTATTTATTTTTCACATACTTATTATCATATTTGCAACAAGTTATTTTAATATTCGGAAACATACAATTACAGATTTATTCAGGGATGATATCATATTACATAATAAACACAGTGATTTATGTGTAAAAAATAATATAATTATCTTTTCAACCCAATAAATGGCGCTACAATACATTATTATTGATGTTTTCCACCTTAGGTAAGAGATTTAAAAAAAATTTAGTCAAGAAATTTATAAGCATTTCTACCAAAAGTTATACCTTCGTGCATTTGACCTTCACCGTAAAATTCACTGCCTTTGCCATCACAATTAATAAATCGCAGGGTCAGACATTTGACCATGCAGGAATATTTCTTCAAGAACCCGTTTTTTTTTTCTCGCATGGTTCATTCAATAATGCTTCTTAAAGAAAAGATTTGAACATACATAAAAACATAAATAAGTCAAAATTATAGTCAAGGACCACTTACAGGAGATGACCAAATACACACAAAAAATAGTTTCGTGAAATACTAGAAAAAATGATATACACTATTTACATATATATATATATATATATATATATAT